ATCTCGACCTGTATATGTTCATCGCAGCGCAATCTGGAACCCAGCTCCCCACGCGGACGCGTGGCCCCCCGCGGGCGAGAGACGCCCGCGATGGCGCGGCAGTCAGTTGGGCGGCGACCACGACGATTAGGATCACAATGGCTCCGCGGTTATAGAGATGTCCCGGGCGCCTCTGGGAGCTCCTCTGCGTCAGCACTTACTGACAGCAACGCGGCGACCATGCGCGACAACGAGGCGGGAGTTGGAAGACACCGTGTTTTTAACATTCCGCAGCATGTTTCGAAGGCTTCGATGGCGCGCTGCTCGCGCACCCTAACGTCGGCGCGCTGCGAGGTGAACCATGGGTAATAAAGGCTTTCGCGAGTGGCATGGACCAACACAGGGCGAGTGTGTCGACGTTTGCAAGGGGCGGCACAGCTTTGCGGAGTGGAAACACCGACGGGAAACGATGCAATTGAACAGTTTGACTCCGCAGTTCGCAGCTATGTTCATGGTGTCACGCGCACTATTGCCCCTAGTGGTGCGCGTAGAGGTGCTCGGGCTGTTCTGGCTGAATGAAATAAGAAATCGCGGCTATATGAAGGCAACCTCTGCACAGGCACGCAGGCGCAACCACCTCATCAACCCCTCTAAGAACGAGACAGCGGCGGCAGTATGTGACCAGAATTCCCGATCCATCCGCCGCCGATTTCGCGATGGGCAACTTCCAGCGGCGGGCCGAGCGCAAGGACGCGAGACGTATCTGGGAGGCATTATTCGCACAGGCGCTACGTTCATTAGCGCACTTCCGCGTCGATTGGGCGCGGCTGACGCTGGCTCCCAGGCAATGGGCCGACATTGGTTCCAGGGGCGCCTGCCGCCTTTTGACAAGAGGACAGTCTTCCTCAGTCGCATCTCGGGCCCAGAACTGCCAAGTCTGGAAGCGCATATCCCGACCCCACCCAGCCCGAGAAGATCCAGAGTCGCAAATGGGCGTATGCCAGGAAGGCCACGAGGGGGAAACTACCATTTTCATGGGTCACCACATGGCCCCCACTTCGAACGACGTAGTTTTCAGATATTGGAGAAGCGCACCGCTAGAACTCGGATGCCGAGCTCGCCGAATCAAATGGCATCAGTCTCGGGCGAGGGGCTTTCAGAAACAGAAAGCCAGATGGGGGGCGCCACCACGAGGGTCGATCGGGGGGGCGTGGTCTGACAACCTTGCTCGGAAAGCGCCGACGTTTTTGGCATGCTTATTTTTGGGCACTGGCGGGTAACATCGCTCCTCTCCAGGACCTTGGGGGCGCCGAAAACGAGGTGATCCAGGAGTTCGACAACGCGCCCTTCCGACTGTTCACGTCTTCCGGGCTTGCAGAGTGATTTACCCAGCTAGGCCCGAAGATCTTCATGGCGAAACGGCCCAGCACATGCATCCCCCCCTGCCACCTCCAGTCGTCGCCGGACAACGCGCTGGCTGAGCCGAGGGAGACCTCGACATTGGCTGATTTCAGATGTCCACTCAGAGGCTGCCCGATAGCTTTTCACGGCAAACGACAGCTCCTCGTCCACGTGCAAAATCACCACGGCCATCGAGCGGTCTTGGGCCAGGTGGTTCCTTCCAATCAGCCCTACGCTTGCCAGGGCACCTTCGAACGCCTAAGTTCGGATAGCAAACGTGCCGCCCAGGACTTCAAGACAGGGGTCTGCGTTCTATCCAAGAGTACGACTTACCAGGCGACGTCAGAGTCAACATTAACATGTCCGTAGTGCGAGGGTCAAGATGATTCGACGGCCGTTCTACTGAAACAGATTCGCGCTCATTTCGGTTTCCGGCCAGTGGTTGATGATGGAGGCGGCGGTCGTTCCAGATTGGCCCATGCCCCCGCCTGGGAGACGCAAGGCGGGCGGAGACGGACAGAGCTTTCAGGACACCACCAAGCTGGCCAAGCTGCAGGAGGAGGTTCCCCAAGACGACGGAGGAGCAGGAGGGGCACTGGCGGCGCCCATCACCATCTTGCGCCGCCTGGCGTTGCACAGCAGCCGCTAGCTCGCGGCGCTTATTGGCGCCGGCTTCACCTGCTCCTCGGCGCCGCCAACCGCGGGCATGGCGACCATCCTTCAACGTGCAGGCCAGGACTACAGTGCCAAGTGCAAGTCGGAGGGCAAGGATCATGGTCTAGGCCCACCGCGGCCGCGCGCGTTCCTTGGGCCACCACGTTTACCTGGTGAACACGGCCACCGACCTCCCGCCCAAGTCCAAGCAGACTCTCATTCGCTCTTGGAGCGAGGTGGCGAGCATGACCTGAAGGGGGCGGCTCGTCGCACGGTTCAGGAGCACGCGCGCTCTCTTCGCATCCGAAGCTGCTACTGCGACACGGAGCAGCACACAGAACCGCAGATGTACACATTCCAGTTCCTGGTGGCGCCAGCTCAGCAGACGCTGAGCACCAAAACCGGCAACAACCAGGAGCTGCAGACTTTCCACGTGGCCTTGTGCCAGGCGGTCGAGCGGCAGGGTGGGGCGTCCAAGGCAGACTCGGCACCGCGCGGCGCCGCGGAGGGAAACGCGGAGAAACTGCTGGCGCGGATCGAACTCTGGCACGACGCGGCCCAGAAGCAGTTGCACAAGAAAGGCGGCGACGAGGGCAACGACGTCGCGTAAGGTAGATCGCCGCAGCTGGATCCGAACGAATTGTTGAGATGCAAGGAGGTGGCGTTCTGCGCGACACAGCCCTCACCATTTTACAGGCCAGTTCTTCCAAGCCGATGTTTGATTTAAAACCTTTGTTTATTCATATTTTTTTATATATATATATATATATATATATATATATATGAACGAGGAGCCTGCAGGCTTTCCAGATGGCATAGGTCTGGAACCCCAGCAGAGCCTAGTATAGACGTGCTCTCGCTGTGCACATGAGCGCCCCAGGTTCGGCTTATGAGTGGTGATCTCCCTCTCTCCTCCGTCGAGTCCCCTTCGCCGTTCCCCCTGCTCGCCCCGCCTCCTCGCCCCACCGTGCCAGGGCAGTAACAAAGCAGGTCTTGCTAGGACTGCGACCTCTCGACTCGCACCTGGAGCTCTCAGGGCAGAAGGTGTTTCTGGGGGGGCCACGGAGGCGCTCGTTTTCTCCACGGTGTGGTCCCTCGGTAGGCCGGTGGAGTCCCCTCCGCGGTGCCGCTGGTAGGCGCTGCATACACACAGCGCTTACATCGCAAAGTTCTATACGTTCCGTCCCTGCTCGCTAGCTGCGCTCAGCTATCCAATCAGCCAATCATCGAACCATTCGTTATCAACTGTTTTTGTTTTGTCCTCCTCCGCTTCGTTCCTCCTCGTCTCCAGCTCTTCCTCCTCGATTCCGCGCTCGTTTCCCTACTCGTTGTTAACTTGCTCCCATCGCTGCCCTTCCAGTCCTCCACGCCGTCATCCTCGTCAGGGCCGCCGTGTCGTCGCCATCACCCCTCTCTTCTCTTCCCCCTACGAGCCTGATGGACAAAACCGGCGTCTCCCGCCTTGTCCGATCAGATTTCTGCACACCCACGCTCCCGGAAAGCAAAAATATCTATCGGAGATGCAGGAGGAGGCAAGTGGACCCGTGGACCCATATAGTTGTTCTTCGATCTGCTGGAAGGCGGGGCCGAAGGCGCTCCTTGCTCTGGAGGGTTGTCTGGAGGCCCCAGCTCTCCAGACCTGCCGGACGACTCGAGGGCAAGCTGGCGCCGGAGGCCTGTCATTGCTTCCAGTGTCCGGGGTCCTTTTTCCGAGCCCCCGGGACGCTACAAAATTTGGCATCGTTCGGACGTGTGCGTTTTTCCTCGGCAGGGACCATCGAGGAGCATTCGAGGTCAGATTGCCGAAAAAACGCGCACGAAGCCGTCAAATGCACAGGGAATGGGCGTCCGAGCGATGTCCAGAAGACGGTTCGGGATGAAAAGCCAGTCCCGGAGAGAGGGGGCCCAGGGCTCCGGGAGCGGGCGATTCAAAAGGATCTACCTCCTCCTCTTCCTCCTCCTCTTCCTCCTCCTTCTCCTCCTGCTCCTCCTCCTCCATCTCACCTCCCTGATCTTCAATATCTATGCTTGTCGGCGTCCTTCAAAAGGATCGAGTCGTGGGAGGTATGTGTGTGCGCAGCCACGCGTATCCTGGCCGGGCCCGTCCAGGCCCCGGCCTGGGATGGGGAGGAACAAGGAAAGCAGTCTCGGGGCGAGGGCACGGAGCAGGGAGGTAAGGACCAGGATGACACGGAAGAGGAGGAAGGACGCCGATAAGCATAGACATTGAAGATCAGAGAGGTGAGGAGGAGGAGGAGGAGGAGGAGCAGGAGGAGAGGGAGGAGGAGGAGGAGGAGGAGGAGGAGGAGGAGGAGGAGGAAGCGGGTGTGGATGGAGAAGGGGGAAGGGGAGGAGGAGCAGCAGAAGGAGCTCTGGAGGTTCGCTCTGGACCCCAGGAACCTCAGCACAACCAGCGCGCGATCAAGAATTGGTCTCGGCGACGAGGTCGGAAGGCCGCGCCTTTCAAAGAATTACTTCGGAGCCGGAGACTTGGGGAGGCCAGGAGGAGTGCCGGGTGTGGCGAGAAGGGCCCCTGGCCCAAAGTGCCCCCAGGATTTCCAAGGAAGCCCCCACGGAAGGCCCTAGGGGGCTCCAAGATGGAGCGACAAGTTGGGGGCGCCTTGGTCCAAGGGCACCCTTTAGCACCCCCGAGGAGCGCCGAGGGGCTCCGCCGACGCGGCCGCGGGTCTTCCGTGCTGCCAGGCAGGGCCGGAAGCGCCTTGCCAGGGCTGGCGCGGGGTGGGCTGGACGTTTGGGAGAGCCCAGGCCGCCTCGGCGACTCGAGCAGGATCGCGCGGGAGGCGCGTCGCCGTCGTCGTCGTCGTCGACGCCGTCGTCTGCGTCATCGCCACCGTCATCGCCGCTGGTGTCGGCGTCAGCCTCACTGCCATCGGCTGCGTCGGTGTCGGCGTGATCGTCGTCTGCGTCTTCGTCCCCGTCGCTGGCGCAGCCGCCCCCGCGGCGAGGACGACTTCTGCCTCATCCACGCGGACGGCGTCAGCATCTTCGGCGTGTTCGACGGCCACGGGCCCCACGGCGGCGACGTCGCGTCCTGCGTGCGGGAGTTCACCCGGCCGAGGGAGGAGGCAGCGAGGAGCGAAGTGGAGCAAAGAGGAGGAGGAAGAGGAGGAGGCAATGAAGAAGAAGGGGGAGGGAGGAGGGAAGAGGAGGGGGGGACCGGAGGGGCCGGGGGCGAGGGGAGAACAGGGAGAAGAGAGGAGAAGAACGAAGAGGAGCAGGAGGAGCAATAGGAGCAGGAGGAGGAGGAAGAGCGAGAGGAGGAGGAGGAGGAGGAGGAGACGAGGAGGACGAGGGGAGGAGGGAGGAGGAGAAGGAGGAGGAGGAGGAGGAGGAGGAGGGGAGGAGGAGGAGGAGGAGGAGGAGGAGGAGGAGGAGGAAATGGCCCCCCGGGCCGCCAAGCAAGGAGTCGGGAGGAACCCTTGGTCCTGAGGAGCGCCGCAGGGTCTAGGAGCCGCGCCCCTCGAGGCCAAGACGAGGGAGGAGGATCGGGGCTTGGGGGAGGAAGTGGCGCGGGCAGGGTTTGCGGCCAGCAGTGGGAGGACGCGATGACGAGGTGGAGGAGGAGCAGGAGGAGGAGTTGGAGGAGGAGGACGAAGAGGAGGAGGAGGAGGAGGAGGACGAGGAGGAGAAGGAGGAGGAGGAGGAGGAGAAGGAGGAGGAGAAGGAGAGGAGGAGGAGGAGGAGGAGAAGGAGGAGGAGGAGGAGGAGGAGGACGAGGAGGAGAGGAGGAGGAGGAGGAGGAGGAGGAGGAGGAGGAGGAGGAGGAGGAGGAGGAGGAGGAGGAGGAGGAGGAGGAGGAGGAGGATGGAGGAGGAGGAGGAGGAGGAGGGAGGAGGAGGAGGAGGAGGAGGAGGCGGAGGAGGAGGAGGAGGAGGAGGGAGGAGGAGGAGGAGGAGGAGGAGGAGGAGGAGGAGGAGGAGGAGGAGGAGGAGGAGGAGGAGGAGGAGGAGGAGGAGGAGGAGGAGGAGGAGGAGGAGGAGGAGGAGGAGGGGAGGAGGAGGAGGAGGAGGAGGAGGAGGAGGAGGAGGAGGAGGAGGAGGAAGGAGGAGGAGGAGGAGGAGGAGGAGGAGGAGGAGGAGGAGGAGGAGGAGGAGAGGAGGAGGAGGAGGAGGAGGAGGAGGAGGAGGAGGAGGAGGAGGAGGAGGAGGAGGAGGGAGGAGGAGGAGAGGAGGAGGAGGAGGAGGAGGAGGAGGAGTGGAGGAGGAGAAGGAGGAGGAGGAGGAGAAGGAGGAGGAGGAGGAGGCGAGGAGGAGGAGGAGGAGGAGAAGAGGAGGAGGACGAGGAGGAGAGGAGGAGAGAGGAGGAGGAGGAGGAGGAGGAGGAGGAGGAGGAGGAGGAGGAGGAGGAGAGGAGGAGGAGGAGGAGGAGGAGGACTAGTGTAAACCCAAGGCGCATCAACAATGTTGAAAAAACACCCTCCCTCCAGGATCCCTCTTCATAGGTCCCTACATGGAGTCATTTCCACTAAGGGAGTCTGCCCCGTCGGGGGACAACCGTGTACACCATTCCTGGGATACCAGCACCACGAAGGAGCAGATGCAAGAAATTCAATGGATCCTATGGTTAGCGTATCTGGTACGCTAACCATAGGAGCCATTGAACTTCTTGCATATGCTTAAACATGAAAGTGCGCCGCGCTGGGGCGAGGGCCACATTTTGAAAACGAGCCGCCCTCGACCCGTGAGCTCTTGCAAGTTTCTTTCGACGAGTGCACGCGGCGCTAAGGCGAGAGCCACATGTTGAAGCCGAACCACCCTCAAGCAGTGAAGCTTTTGCAACGCTTGTATGACGAATGTGCGCGGCGCTACGGCGAGAGCCACATTTTGAAATCGGCCCGCTTCCAATCCGTCGAATTGTTGCCCATGTTTGAAACGAATGCGCGCTGCGCTAAGGCACGAGCCACAAGTGGAAAACGAGCCGCCCTCAATCCACTGAGCTCTTGCGATTTGGCATGAAGGGTGTGCGCGGCGCTCCTGCGAAAGCCACGTTTTGAAAACGACCCGCCCTCAATCCGCGAAACGCTTGTGAACGCAGCACCACCGACCCCTTGGGGCGGCAGCAAGAGTGAAAGACGGAACGCGCGCGATCGCTGGGCAATCTTTGGGTTTCAGCCCATCTTACGTAGCGTGTAGGGTTCAGGGGGGGGCCTTGTAGGGGATTGGTTTGGGGTTCTTCGTGGTCTTATGTGGGTTTCTTGGGGCCTTCACGGGGCCTGTCCCAGGCCTCCTTGTCCACGCGCCTGGGTAGGTTCGGGGATCGTTGAAACCCAGCTGGGGGTGCGTCGGGCCAGAAGTTCGAGAGTGGACCTAGCTGTGTTGACGAGGAGCTTCCTGAAGGCCCAGAGGGGGCGGCGAGGAGTCTCATGCCTCGAGCCTCGACCCACTCCGTGGTCCTTTATTTGCGAAGGGGTGGCACCGGCTAGGGAGGTCGATCCTCATCCCGGACCCTCGGCGGTGGCCCCGGGCACCGAAAACGGCTCTTGGAGGCAGAATTCGAGATGCTTCGGGCGGTCGAATGACCACGAAAATATCTGAGACATCGGCGGCGACGACGACATCTCCTTTCTTTATGTTTCTCTTCCTCTTCCTGTTCCTCCTCCTCGTCCTTCTCCTCTTCCTCTTCTTCTTCCGGCAGTTCCGGCCGCCTTTCCAGAGACTGTTGTTCGAACAATTACCAGCCTCGAACGTATCCCTATCCCTAAGATTGACACGCCAAAAGGCGATGACGATCTTAGGGATTCGCCTTCCAAAAATAAGGGAATCCCTAAGATTGGCATCGTGATGAGGAGGTGCCCAGCATAGGGATAGGGACATGTTCCTGGCTGGTAAAACAGCTTTTGTTCTCTTGATAGGTGTTGGTCTCTGGGGGCCGTCGCTGGGCCCGAGGACTTGCAGAATCGGACGGACCTGCGGCGGGAAATGGCATCGGCGGACCCGGGGAGAGGTTCGGGGAACGAGTTTGTGCGGAGTCGCCCGTCGGATTCGGGAGGTTTTGTTGTGGTCGGGGGGCTCTGGGCCCCTCCCCTGTCGCCGCGGCTGGATGCACTTGGGAAAACGATTGCGAGTGGATTCCGGGAAGGGTCTGGGGGGGCCGATGGTGAACGATTTCTGCGTGGGGAAACGAGAAGAAATTTGCTGCAGAGTCTTAGTGTTTTGTTTCCTGGTTTTCGTCGTCGAAAGGCCGCCTCGGGGTCCCGGGGTCATTCGGGGGCATCGTGGGTCCCCGTCCGGGTCTCTTGGGCGCATTTACGCGCCCTTTCATGTTTTCTCGGGGCGAAGTGCTCGAAGTCTACATTCGGGTTCCCCTTCTTACCCTCTTGGGGCCGTCCTGGGGCTCTCCCCGGTGGCTTCGGGGGCCCCTTTGGGGCCAGTTTGTGCCGCCTGAGCATTTTTGGTGGCATGCGGGGGTTTTTGGGTTGATTTTGGTGTTTTGAGGGGGCTGCTGTGGGACTCGTAAAAGCTCAAGAAGCGAATGTGTTAAACTTAGGCGCTTCCCTTCGGGAAGGGGCCGACGTTTGGTGTTGCCCGGCCTCTTGGGACGCGTCCTGGTGGCGCGTTGGGGCGTCTAATTAGGGGGCCTCAAGGGTCAGCTGGAGGCAGTGGCGGGCGTCTGGGAGCGATCTCCTCACGAGTCGCAACTCGCGCTCTGAAGCCGTCGGGGGAGTCTTGCGGGACCTAGTTGGGGACTTTGGGGGACCCGTTTTGGGTCGGTTTGGTGGCTTCTGGGGCCTGTCTTGGAGTCCTTTTGGGCGCCTTTTTGGATCGTATTGGGTCGATCTGGAAGGCTTCTTGGGCTGTTGTGGGCCCCGTGAAACCGACGACGCGAACGTGCTGGAAGTGTATGTTGTCCATAGCAAATGAAACGCTTGTTGCTTCTGGAGAGCCTCTTGGGACGTCTCCTGGAGGTTTCTTAGGCCGTCTTGGGGGCCTGTAGGACCGCAGGACCGCCGGGAGGCAATCTGGAGCGTCTTGGAGCGATCTCTCGACGATTCGTAGCCCTCGTGGGCCGTCCCAGGAGGCCTTCGGGGACCGTCTTAGCCCATTTTAGGGCCCTCTCGAGGCCGTCCTGCGGCTCTCCTGGGCCGTTGCGGTTGATTCTCGGGCCTTCGCGGGGCCCTCGCTGGCAGTCTTGGAGCTTCCTTGGGGGCCTCTTGGGTTATCTGGGGTCGCTCTTGAAGGCTCCTTGGGCCGTTGTGGGCCTCGTGAGCGGCCAAGAGGCGAGTGCGTTTAAAATATACGTTTTGTCCGTAGGGAATGGGGCGATGTTTGTTTCTGGAGGGCGTTTTGGCGGCTTCTTGGGGCGTCTTGGGAGCTTCTGGGGCCGTCTGGAGGCAATTCGCGGCGTTGTGGAACGATCCCTCGTCGACTCGTAGCTTTCTTGGAACGTTCCGGGAGCCTTTTGGACCTTTCTGGCTCGTTTTGGGGCCCCTTCAGGTTCCAAATGTGCGGCTGGCACCTTTACCCCCCACCCCACCCCCTTCCAAACGGGCCGAACGGGCTCCCGGGGGAGGCGTTTGGGGAGGGGGAAGCATCTCACACGCCGTGGCCCCAGGGGGGTCGGCGGACCTCGAGGCCCGAGTCCAAGCGCAACCGCCTTGTGTGAACAACACTGTAACGCTTGGAGCTCAGGGGAGGAGCAGGAGGAGGACGAGGGCATGGACGCAAACGTGTCCGCAGCTTCAAGGTTGCGCGGAGGAGGAGGAGGAGGAGGAGGAGGAGGAGGAGGAGGACAGGAGGAGAAGCTATGTCTATATTTCAGAGGATGGTCTGTGCACGGCGCCCGTGGAGACCCTGTCACAGGGTTTGCGTCTTGTCAGGCTTGTCGCAGTTTTTGTTGTCGAAGTGCCGCCTCCGGGTCCCGGGGTCTCTCGGGGGCATCGTGGAGCCCCGAAGGGGCCTCTTGGGTGCCGTGTGGCGCTCTGTCGGGTTTTCGGGTGAAGTGTTCGAGTTCTCCATTCGGGTTTTCCCTCGGACCCTTTTCGCGGGGCCGTCCTGGAACCTTCCTTGGTGGATTCGGGTGCCCTCTTGGGCCCCTTTGGGGCCGTCTGGGAGCCTTCCTGGAGGCATATGGGGTCTCCTTGGGTTGATTTGGGAGGGCTTGTGGGGCTGCCGTGAGCCGCGTGACAGGCCAAGAAGCGAAAAAGTGCCAAACTTTGGCGTTGCCTTTAGGGAACGGGCAGGGGCTTGCTTCTTAGAGTCTCTTGGGATGCGTCCTGGTGGCGCGTCGTGGCGTTGAGGAGGCTTCCGGGGCCGATCGGAGGCCATGTCGTACGTCTTGGACCGATCTCTTCGCGAGTCGTAGCCGATTGGGGCCGTCGGGGGGGGCCCCCTGGGGCCGTCCCGGGGCCCTCCTCGGTGGCTGCGGGTGCCCTCTTGGGGGGACCTTTTGGGCCGTCTCTGGAAGCTTTCTTGGAGGCACATGGGGTTTCCTTGAATTGATTTGGGGGCCTATTGGGTTGCTGTGGCCCTCGTGAAAGGCCAAGAAGCGAATGTGCTAAACTTGGACATTTCTCTTAGGGAATGGGCCGATGTTTGCTTGTGGAGGGCCTCAGGGGCCGCGTCCTGGTGGCGTGCTGGGGCGTGCAAGGGGCCTCAGGGGCCGCTTGAAAGGCCAAGATGCGAACGTATTGGAAATATATGCTTTCCATCGAGAAAGAGACAGCTGTTGCTGCTGGGAGGTTTCTTGGGACGCCTCTGGGCGGCGTCTTGAGGCGTTTTGGGGGCCTGCAGGGCTGTCGAGGGGCAATGTAGGACGACTTGGGGCACTGTTGAACGACTTGGGCCGACCAGGAGGCCTTTTAAGAACCCTCTTGGCCCGTCGTGGGGCCCTCTTGGGACCGTCCTGCGGCTCCCTAGGACCGTTGCTATGGTTTGGGGGGCCTTCGTGGGAAGCCCAGAGGCCGTATTGGAACCCTCGTGAAAGCCTCTGGGATTGTTGGGGGTCGATGTTGGATGATTCCTGGGCCATTGTAGGCCTCGTGGAAGCCAAAGAGGCGAATGTGTTGAAAATGGATGCTTTCCCCCGGGAATGTGACGATTTGTGTTTCTGGAGGCGTTCGTGCAGCGCCTCATAATAGTTGTTTCAAACGTCTCGGGGTCATCTGGGGAATCGTCTGTAGGCAAGCTGGGGCGGTTTGGACCGAATCGTCCCCCTCGTGGGCTGTCTAGAAGGTCTTTGGGGACCCTCTTGGCCCGTTGTGGGGCTCTCGTGGGGCCGTCCTACGACTGTCCTGGGCCGTTGCTGTGGTTTCTGAGGCCTTCGTGGTGCGCCCGGAAGCCGTCGTGCGGAGGAGGAGGAGGAGGAGGAGGAGGAGGAGGAGGAGGAAGAGGAGTCTGGGCAGCCTTTGGGGACCGTGCTGGCCCGTTCTGGAGCCCCCTTGGGGCCGTCATGCGGCGCTCCCGGGCAGCTGCTGTGGGTTCTGGAGTGCCAGGATGGCACGCTCGACCCGCTCGGCGTTGTGGAACGATCCCTCGTCGACTCGTAGCGTTCTTGGACCGTTCCGGGACCCTTTTTCCCTACCAGGGCTCTGCCTAGAAGGGTTCTTACCTTCTTTCTCAAAGGGGCCGGGCAGTGGAACGCGCCCCGGGCGGTTCCCCCGGCATCCGCCCCGCGGTTCCCCCAGTTACGTCTCCTTAGCTTAGCGTTGTTTATCTCATCTTATCTTAGCTTATTTCATCTTAGTTCAGCTTAGCTTCATCTTAGCTCAGGTTTATTCCCTACCAGGGCTCTGCCTAGAAGGGTTCTTACTCTATGGGCTTAAAGGGCCGGGCAGTGGTCCCCGCCCCGGGCGGTTCCCCCGGCATCCGCCCCGCGGTTCCCCCAGTTACGTCTCCTTAGCTTAGCGTTGCTTATCGCACCTTATCTTAGCTTATGTCATCTTAGTTTAGCTTCATATTAGCTCAGGTTTATATTAGCTTATGTTACCTCCATGTTAGCTTCGCTGAGCTTTAGCATGGCAGAGCACAGCATAGCATAGCATATCGTAGCATAGCATAGCGCTGCACAGCATACCATAGCATAGCCCAGCATAGCATAGCATATCATAGCGCAGCATATCATAACATAGCATAGCGCAGCACAGCACATCATAGCACAGCGCAGCATAGCATATCATAGCATAACAGAGCATAGCATAGCATAGCATAGCATAGCGCAGCATAGCATAGCATAGCATAGCATAGTGCAGCTTAGCATAGCTTAGCATAGCATAGCATAGCTTAGCATAGAACAGCGCAGCATGATACACCATAGTTTAGCATAGCCGAGCATCGCATAGCATAGCGCAGCATAGCATAGCATAGCATAGCATAGCATAGCGCAGCATAACATGGCATATCATAGCATAGCATAGCATGGCATAGCAACTAATGCTGCTTTCCTAGGGGGTCCAACTTCTAGGTAGGGTCGCACTGGGGTAATGTACCTTTTTGGCTCGTTGTGGGGCTGCCGGGCGATTGCTATGGTTTCTGGAGGGCCAGGACGGCGCGCTCGAGCCGCCCGCTTCGAGCGGCTGTGATGGCGGGTTGGTGTACCCTCTGCTCGAAGAGGAGGCCGTCGTGGAGCCTCTTTGGGGGCCTCTTGGGTTGCGGAGGGTCGATCTTGGAGGCTTCTTGGGCCGTTGTGGGCCGCCTGGAGGCCCAAAAGGCGAACGTGCTGGAAATGTACCCCTAAAGGAATGCGGCGATGGTTGCTTCTGGAGGGCCTTCTTGGGGCGCCTCGCAGTATTTGTTCAAGAGTCTTGGGGGCTAATGGGGCCGTCTGGAGGCAATCCTCGGCGTTGTGGAACGATCCCTCGTCGACTCGTAGCTTTCTTGGACCGTTCCGGGACCCTTTTGAACCTTTTTGGCTCGTTGTGGGACCTCCTGAGGCTCCAAGTGTGCGGCGGGCACCTTTGCCCTCCACCCCCCACCCCACCCCTTCCAAACCGGCCAGACCGGACCTCTGGGGGAGGGGTTTGGGGAGGGGGAAGCATCTCATACGCCGTGACCCCAAAGGGTCGGCGGATTTAAAAAAAAAAATGAGCAGCGCTAAGTCGAAAGCCACACTTTGAAAACGACCCGCCCTGAATCCGCGAAATTCGTTCAGATATTTAGAACGAATGTGCGCGGCGCTACGGCGAGAACCACATGTGGAAAACGACCCGTCCTCAATCCGTTTATACGTTTCCCATTTTTGAATGACGAACGAGCGCGGCGCTGATGCGAGAGCCGCATATTGAAAACGACCCGCCCTCAAGCAGCAAAGCTCTTGCGAATGCGTACAACGAGAGTGCGCGGCGCTAAAACGAGGACTACATTTTGAAAGCCACCCGCCTTCCATATTATAGCATCAGTGTCAAAAGTGGTGAGGAAGTCTCAGGCGAAACGCCCAGCCCGCCCTTTCGACAGGCCTCGGGGGGCGGCAGGGAAGAGTTATGTGTAAGAAAAGGAATGGAAGAGGAGGAGGGAGAGGAGCAGGAGGGAATTCTGAGGCTGTTCGCCATCTTCGGGCTCTCGGTGCCCTCCACGGGCCTGGGGCCCTGTCCGAAAACGATTCAGGATGAAGAACCCGTCCTGGGGGAAGGCGCCGGGGTTCAGGACCCGTTTCCCTCAGGACCCGCCCCCCCCCATGCCAAGGAGGAGGAGGAATCAGGAGCTAGAGGGTGAATAAGAGGTAGATCGGAGGTAGATAGACCTCCTACCCTGACACGTCGATTAAGGAATTGGCCGTTTTCGGCTCGCGAGAGGGCGTCGCGGCCGTCATTTTCGCGGGTCCAGGTCCGTCGGTTTCGGTCCCAGGCCGTTTTCACTGAGGGGAGGCTTACTAAAGGGAGGTTGGTCCACCGCCGAGTAGAGAAGGTGGAGCGTGCTGAGGAGGTGGAAGGAAAGGGCCAGGGAGGCAGAGGGGGGAGGAGGGGGAGGCGACGGAAGAGGTGGAGGTGGTGGAGGACTGGAAGGATGAGCAAGAACGGAGGAGCACGGTGCAGGAAGGCTGTGGCGAAGGCGTGGAGGCGGGCACTCCTTCGCGGCAGGACTTCCTGCCGCGCCAACTGGTCAAGAAGCACGACCTGGAGGACCGTCCTCCTGTTTCCTCCTCCTCCTCCTCGTTTTCCTCCTCTTCCTCCTCCCCCTCCTTCTCCTACCTGTTCCTTTTCCTCCTCCTCCTCGTCCTCCTCCTCCTCCTCATCTTCCTTATCCTCCTCCTCCTCCTCCTCGTTCTCCTCCTCCTCCTCCTCCTCCTCCTCCTCCTCCGCCCTCCTCCTCCTCCTCCTCCTCCTCCTCCGCCCTCCTCCTCCTCCTCCTCCTCGTAGGCGTTGTGGTTCGAGGCGCCTCTTGGGAGCAGCCCGAAGACCACGACCCAAGCTGCCAGCCCGCGCGTGCGATAGGCTGGAGTGGATTGACTGCCTGGGCCGACGCACCACTGTGCATGCTGCGTCGTTGGACGGCTCGCATTCGAAGCTACGGCCATTTGTCCAGCACGACGGCGCGCTCGAGGTCACCTTCTCCAGCCTGGCGCAGACGTCCCAAAAGCCGACGCACGGCTGCCAGGCATTTCACCAGACTCGACACGGCCAGACGCATCCTTTCCTAACACCACGTTTCAACCTTGTGGGCAAGGGATTCAAGGGACGTGGGAATGAGTCGAAAGACCCACGATTGACGCGCTTCGCTACTCGTCAGCGCGGTTTCTCTCGCAATCCCGCTTATACAACAAGACGTGCTACATGCGTGGACGAGATCAGAATGGCCAGTCAGATCCGAATGGGCCCCCAGATCGTGACGACGTCTCCAGAGATCGTGCACCCTCGATGCCTCGAACCAGAAATAAAGCAGAAGACTGGAGAGTGGCACAGATGAAGCTAGTCAGGCACGCACGGCACCATCAGCTCGGCGAAAGCATGGCCTCGAATACTGACATGAACCCATCGCCAATGCCAAGAGCGCTCTGGCAGCAGCTGAGACAGCGGAACGCTTTCGTCGGACTCTTGATGGCATGTGACGCAGAGCTTTGGACTAACAGAATTCCCAGGCCAAGGTGGCTGACAGTCCCACGGAGATCGTCGAGAGCCCCAAGCAGCAGCACGAGGCCAGGGAGGCAGAGCTCCGGTGCGCAGCGGCCGAGCTCAACAGCGTCAAGTTGGAAGTCGCTGCGGCGCGCGCAGCAGTCGTGGGCGCGGCCGCAGTCCCGGTGGAAGCAGACGCCTCAGCCTCTGCAGTTCCAGATGCCATCGAAAGGGTGCGCACCGTCGTGCAGAGTGTTCCCTCGGCGCCCGCCCAGGATAACCCACGGGCTGATTTCGCGCCCCTATCCTCGCGCTTCACAGAGCTGCGAGCGGCCCTCGGGATTCATCGTGGGCAGGCCGCACCGCAAGATGCGAATCTCCCCTCTCGCCCAGGCGGCATGCACCGGGGGCGCCCCGAGGGGAAGGGGGGCCCAACTGCACCAGCGCCACCAGCGCCCTGAGCTTGGACTCGACGGTGATATGTCAAGTGTGGTTCGAGGAGAGGCGCGGTCGATCGACGATCTACCACTCCATGAACTGCGCGAACACACTTCGGGGGCGTCAAGCGCTGCAGGCGGCGAGAGGCCACTTCATGCACCGGCGCCTTCTACCTCGCTATCTACGAGAATGCCTGCCTCGGGGCAGGTTTAGTCGCATGGCAGGTGCGCCGGTTCCCTAGGGACCTGGCCTTGGAGGATGCCTCGGGATGAGAACCCCTCAAGAGGATCGGCCACCCAGCTTGTTTTGCTGAGCAGCTCACATCAACGCCCATGGAGAAGGGCATTGGCGCAATGCAAGCGCAAACCATTCAGCATCGCAAGTTTCAACGGCTCAGGTTGGCCACAGTTGTAGGATTACTTGGATCAGTGCCGACATCATCTGGCCATATGCGCCCAGGAGCTTGGCGGGCAACGCTGACATGAAGGTTGAGGAATGGAGCTTGGGACGTGGATGGCGGCCTTCTCTCGCGGAGGCAAGGCTGGGCACAAGAGGCAAGTGCTCGCGTGGAGTTGGAATCTTCGTCAGGCCGCACAGCATGCTTGGACGCCGTCTTGGACGACCATGTTCTAATCGCCTCGCACGCGGCGGCGACCCACGCGCGCGCGGGGCCGAGGCACGCCTTCATCGCAGCATCGATATACGCGGAACGGGGCCAGAAGCTGGGTGGCGACAACGCCGGGTATATCGAACGAGTCGGACAATGCTTGAGGCATTACGCTGCGCCGTACATCGTCGGCGCCGACTGGAACGTTTCCCCCGATTCCTTGGGGGCGGCCAACTTGCATCGGAGACTCCGAGGATCTGCCGCCGCCATAGACGAAGGGTCCTTCAAAGTTCTGAAGACAGTCAACCTGTCCAAATTGAATCACTTTCTCGCGCCAGAGAGCCTGGCCTCGGTCGCGGGCGCGGCTGCTATCTCAGCTGGTTTTCCCGCGCGCAGTCATGTTCCAGCGCGGGCCACAGTTGGCCCCAGTTCCTGAAACCAGCCGGTCTGCTGCCAGAAGGGGCCCGCAGCCGCCCCCTCTGGGGCCTCAGGCGAAGTTCGCTCAGGCAGAGGAGGGCGACGGCGATGGGAAACAACGTTTTGACGCCGATCGCGGGAGCCCAGGGCATTCGTGGATTCAGTTGGCGCGGGATGCTGCATGCAATGGTTTCGGAGGCCCCGATGATCACCACGCTTGTTTGAATTATTCAAGTCAGCAGCTGCACCCAGGAGTTGAGAAGGAGCTGCCGCCCAGGTTTAAGCAAGACGACGCCAATCGATACGTCGGGCGCGCAGCAAACGCCGAATATCGGCACTCGACCGACATCGCCCTGCAGGCATACGGCATTCTCGCGCGATACATCTGCTCCAGCATAAGGCATCTAACGCGCTCATAGCTCAGCCCGGCGCGCAAGCGCGCGCGCGCACGGCGTCACAGATGTACCTTCGCAGTCGGACATGGACGCGATGGCCGGAAGGTCCCAGTGCCACCGCCCGCATGCGTCCCCCACACCCACTATGGCACACGCCTCACACCTTTCGCAGCCCCGCAGGGAGTTCCAACGAAGGCCCCAGTGCCACCGCCCGCATGCGTCACCCACACCCATTTCGGCATACCACTCACACGCGTCGTGGCCCCACAGAGAGCTCCACCGAAGGCCCCAGTGCCACCGCCCGCATGCGTCCCCCACACCCATGTCGGCACACCCCTCACACGTTTCGCGGCCCCACAGGGAGCTCCACCGAAGGCCCCAGTGCCACCGCCCACATGCGTCCCCCACACCCATTTCGGCACACCCCTCACACGTTTCGGGAGCTCCTCCGAAGGCTCCAGTGCCACCGCCCGCATGCGTCCCCCACACCCATGTCGGCACACCCTCATACGTTCCGAGGCCCCACAGGGAGCACCGCCGAAGGCCCCAGTGCCACCGCCAGCATGCGTCCCCCACACCCACTCCGGCACACCCATCACACGTTTCGTGGCCCCACAGGGAGCTCCACCGAAGGCCCCAGTGCCACCGCCCGCATGCGTCACCCACACCCTTTTTGGCACACCCCTCACACGTTTCGGGAGCTCCACCGAAGGCCCAGTGCCACCGCCCGCATGAGTCCCCCACACCCATGTCGAAGGGTCCGTCGCCGCGCGAATTTTTAGGGAGGGGGGCGTGCTCAGAGCTGAGCTGGCCTGGGCGCGGGCTGCGTGCGCGCGAGGGTTAGGCCTTCGGGCAGTGAGGCTGCAGATGGCACCTGCTTCGTGCGGTGCGTGGTCGGGCGTTGTGGCTGGAGGGCGCCAGCCCCGTCCGCCCGAGATGCCCGATCCGATCCCCGTGCTGCTCCTTCCCTCCCTTCCTCCCTCCCTCCCTCCCACCCTCCTCCTCCTGCTCCTCCTCCTCCTCATCCTCCTCATCCTCCTCCTCCTCCACCTCCTCCCACCTCCCACATCCTCCTTCTCCTCCTACTCCACCTCCTCTTCCTGCTGCTCCTCCTCTTCCTGCTCCTCCTCCTCCTCCTCCTCCTCCTCCTCCTCCTCCTCCTCCTCCTCCTCCTCCTCCTTCCTCACTCCTCCTCCCCTCTCCTCCTCCTCCTCCTCCTCCTCCTCCTCCTCCTCCTCCTCCTCCTCCTCCTCCCACCTCATCCTCCCACCTCATCCTCCCGCCCCCCTCCCCTCCCTGATTGCCCGGCCGCAGGGCGTTGCTGCCCCCCTGGGCGGCAGCAGAGCGGGCCCCTCGGGGCGCTTCCCGGGCAGATGCCCGCCGCTGCCCGCTGCCCGTCGCCGTCGATGTTCGAGCGCCCTCTCTCGGGGGCGTCAAAGAAGGGGGTGATGACTGGGGGGGGGGGGATATCATGGCGTGGGCCATGGTATTTCCTCAGATTTCATGGCGCCTCGTCTACTTTCACTACGTCCCCGGGTCCCCCCCTGGGCCGCGCACATGCCGCCTGCCATGATTTGCGCCCCCCCCTCTTGGCCGCCCTCGACTCTCGGGAGAGGGGTGGGGAGCCCCCCCGGCGGCTCCAAGAGGCCCAAATTTGCAGCAAACGCAGGCCGCCTCGATGTTGTTCGAGCCGCTGCGTGTCTGGGCATCCCCCCTTCAGTATCGTTTATAACCTGCCCTACAGTGGGGGCCAATGCAAAGAAACACCCTACTTGCCTCCAGGGTGCCCTTCGTTTCTTGGGTTTCGATGGTTCTGCGGTGGAAGGCGTGACGCTCCCACACCAAAAATCAATGGACGTCCTTGGGTCTCAGGGTTGGATTTCTTGTGGAAGGTTTCCTGGGTTCGAGCCCCTACTGTATCCACACCAGGTCACGGTATCTCAGCTCCACCATCGCAGCACCCCGGTTGGGGATATACCCGCCGAAGCCCGAGGGGAGCAGCCTAGATCCCTATCGAGGGGGGGAGGGGGGAAATGGGTGAGGCGGGCCAAGGCCATGCCAGTGGGGACAGGGATCGGTTACATACATACATACATGCATACATACGTACGTACATACATACATACATACATAAATACATACATACATACATACACACATACATACATACATACATGCATGCATGCATGCATGCATACATACATACATACATACAT